CCCCCCATCCACCCGAAGCCGGCATTTTAGCCCGGCTGGGGTGGATGAAGGGAGAATCCCTCCTCCCCCCCCATCCACCCGAAGCCGGCATTTGGGGGGGGGGAATTTTCAGAAGCCACTGCCAGCAATTCCCCCCAGCTGGGCGGCGCTGGCTTCAGAGCGGCCGCGGGAGAGGTCTCCCCCGCGATCGCTCCGAAGTGCCCGCTGGTCAGCTGGGGGGAAATGGTGCCTATGGGGAAACATTGCAAAGCGATGTTTCCCCATAGGAAACATCGTAATGCGATCGCTTTTGCGATTGCAAAATCTGCATCGTTATGCGGATTCGTCGTTACACGGGGCGTTCGTTATACGAGGCACCACTGTATTTTAAAAAGTCTGTACCTGCTAACCATATCAAAGGCCTTTTAAAGCTCTATGAAGGCCACAAAGAGTGGCTGTTGTTGTTCCCTACATTTCTCCTGCAACTGTCTGAGGGAAAATACCATGTCACTGGTGGATCTCTGAGCTTGAAATCCATGCTGTGGTTCTCGATAGACTCTGTCTGCAAGCACCTGGAGCCTCTTCAGCACGACACGGGCAAGCAGCTTCTCTACAATGCTGAGAAGAGAGTTCCTCTGGTTCTGTTGGTCTCCATTTTTGTGTCCGAACTCTCTCTCTCTGGTTCTTCACCTGATCCAGGCCAAACGTGCACACACCTGACAATGCCACGGTAGTTATTGCAGTTGCCCTGATCGCCTTTGGTTCAATATACTCCAAATGGAAAGCTGGACAAGAGAGTGGCACAGTGTCATTTCTTAGTACATTCTGGATTCCAACAAGCAGTGATGAGAAGCCAGTGGCGAGCAGGGTCAGCAGCCCCTGCCCTTACCCACGTCCTCAGAGGAGGCAGGAGAGCACCCCAGAGAGGAGGTGCCCAGCTGGGATCCACGGGGCCTCAAACAGCACCTGAGGGAGGGAGGGCAGGAAAAGGTGGGCGGGCGGGCGGCTGCCCTCGAGCCGGTTCCCCGGTCTGAACGAAGGGGTGGTGGTGGTGGGTGGTGGTGAGCGCCCATCTGCTGGTGCCGGCTGTCGGGGCTGGCACTGCCACTGCCAGGTGGAGCCTCGTGTCCCGCGAAGACGCACGCCGCCGCAAGGGGGCGACCGCTGCCACTCCGTCTGCCGGGGCCGCGCCTTCCGAGGGCG